GAGTGAGTGAGTGAGTGAGTGAGTGAGGTGGGGGGTGGGGGGCAAGGAGCGAGCGAGTGGGGAAATATAGAGAGAGGTTCGGAGAGAGGGCCCGCTCTCACGGCGCATTCCAGGGAGTGACTCATAGCCAGACTAGATCACCCTCCTCTCCCTCCTTTTCCAGTCGGTATCGGCGCGCGAATCACAGGCGCGCGGGCCTCGAGTGGAGTAGTGGAGTAGACTAGAGAGAGGGGCGTTAAACGTTCCAGATGATGCGCGTCCCGATGACTCATCACGGCGAGTCAAACTGGCTCATTAACGCTCAACAGCTAATTATGCGTCACGGATGCGCGATGGGGGCGGACAGGGGGCCTGTCTCTCAAACAGAGCGATATGCCCCTATCTAACAGCTTCATAACAGGTCGGCCACGCCCCGCCACGCCCCGCCACGCCCCGCCACGCCCTGACGCCTGACCCCCCGCTGACGCAGCACACTCGGCGCCCCTTCACTGACACCTGGGCAGCGGCCCCGGCCCCGCCGGCCCCGCCGATCAGATGGAATCAGAGCCACAGAATCTTGGAGGAGTCTGGGAGCGCACGGCCGGCCAGCCATTAGCAGTAAGTTGGGTTCGGCCGCGGCACGGCCGGGGAGGGGAGCGGAGGGGTCTTATGAGACGTACGGGCGAACGGCAAAGCGAAAGGCCCCCGCCGCCTGCCGCACGTGTGCGCGTGTGAGTGCGAGCGCCCGCGCGCCGGTGCATCGCACATGCGCTGGATTCCTGAGGCTGCCCGAGGCCCCAACAGGTTGCACACGACACTTCCTTTCACCTCGCGGCCCCGCCCCGCCCCGCCCCGCCCCGCCCTGGGGGTCACACTCACCTGCTCGCCCGGGACGCTGCTGGTCGCGCTGCTGGCGGCCGGCCCCTCGTGCTTCTCGCTCAGCGCCCGCGCCACCTCCCGCACCGAGGACGCCACCGCCGGGGACACGGCGCCGGACTGCAGCGCGCGGTCGACCTGCTGCAGGGCCTCCTGGTCCTGGCGCAGCGCCAGCCGCAGCTCCTGCAGGTGCTGCTCGAACTGCGTCCACGAGGCGCGCGTCTGCTGCAGCTCCTGCAGCTGCTGCTGCAACCTGCGAGCACACAAAGAGAGACGGGTTAGCAGGAGTCTGCTGCAGCTCCTGCAGCTGCTGCTGCAACCTGCAGACACATAAGAGAGACACATATCAGGACGAGTCAGCTGCAGCTCCTGAATCTCCCGCTGAAGAAAGAGTAGAGACAGATGTGTCCTTGCGAGAGGGTGGGTCCTGCCCCTGCCGCTGCGGACGAGACAAGGGCGTCGTCGGACAATCTCTAAGAGTTTGTTTTTTCCGCCCCTTCAGCTCTAACGCGGTGACGTCACGGTGACTTGGCGCTAAACTGACAGCAGAGTGAGTGGGCATCAAGATGTTTGTGCTGGCGGTGCTGGCCGCGGCGCGCAGCCCTGGACAGGACGCGCGGCCCGCCGGGCTCAGGCCGGGCTGTTGACAGGGCGACAGTTATTGGCCGAATGGTCCTGCGGGCAAACACCGGCCTGGAGTGGACAGCCGGGCCGCAGGGCCGCGCCGGGGGGAGGACAGATCCCTGATGGTGTTTATTGGCAAAGGTAATGAAAGAGAGGTCAGCTCTGCCCGTCCGCCCGCCCCTCTCTGCCCACTCCGAGTTTGCGGACGGCGGTCAAACATCTCCCCCTCCTCCGCCCACGCGGCCGACGCCTCGGCCGCATCGCCTTGAAAGAGAGCAAAGCAAAGAACTCCCTCCCCTGTAATTGCACGGGCGATAGCCACCCCACCCCACCCCGCTCCGCCCCGCCCCGCCCCGCCAGCCGCCATACAGCAACCGCGGCGCCTCGTGAGAAATACAGCGCCATAGGAATCAATGAGCTTATCTCGAGCAGAGTCCATCTGCGGCCGGGGCCGCTCCGCCCCGCTGGAGCCACATACGGGCCGAGCTGGAGCCGAGGGGGGCGGGCAGAGGCGCTGCAGGGCCGGCCCTGGAGGCCCTGGAGGGTAACGGCCCACACGACCTCCTCCCCGCCGACACAAGTTACCCCGTCTTCCTTACCTCCTTGCCATGCACCGACCCCCGTGCCGTGTGGCGCGGCCGGCGCGGGGCTCTCTGCGCACCGTCCATTGCTCGCGGAGGCTGCATACCAAGCAGCAGCAGCAGCCCCTGTGCGCCCGCCCCCTGTCCCTCCAGCCTCCACGCCCACCCCCTCCTAATTCCCACAAGCAATGCTCGCCTAACTAGCGCAGCACAGCGAGCTGCTGACCAAAAGGGACCCTAATATGATCAGCCGCGCCTCACGGCCTTGCTGCTCGCCCCTCCCCTCCCCCGAGCGCGCCCACAACTTTTCCTCTTTTACCCCCTCCCCCGCCCCCTTTTCGCTTTCCACCCTTGCTCGCTGGAGACGCGGCCGCTGGAGGTTTGTTTCACGGGCCGGGAGTGCCAAAGCCATCCGCTAAATGCTACCGGTCCGGCTGGAGGGTTGCAGCGGTGTGTCCAGCCCGGGCACGCCCCCAGCATTACAACATGCAAATGGCTGGAATCACGTGGGCTTTGGGCCCGCGGCCCGGGCCGGCCCGGCTGCAGGGTGCGCGCCAAAGGGTCAAGCCTCGGGGCGCGAGGTCCAGCCAGGGCCGGCCAGCCTCCTAATCCCGGACGGCCGACCGCGGCGCAGAGCTTTACAATAAAAACACCGCCACGGGCCATGGAGACACTGCCGATCACGCCACTCGATATCAGAATTCAGGAGTCAAAAATATTTCCGGGAAAATTTTGCACTTTTCAAAAAAAAAAAATCGGAGCAAATTGAAGGTTTCCAGATAAATTTGAAAAAAACATAATCTTTCCATGAAAAAAAATTGCGAGATTTTTAAAAATTAGAGATTACAATCCTCACGCTCGATACTTACATGTCCTCGGTGTCGTCGTAGAGGCGGTAGAGCTCGGTGAGCTGGTCGCGCAGCTGGGTGCCCTGCTGGCCGGGGGGTTGGCCCGGAGCCTGGACGCCGCAGCGGTGCACGGCGAGGTTGAGGGCGGCCAGGCGCTGCCGGCGCCGGTCCTTCACGGCCTCCAGCGCGTCCTGCGACAAACAACAGCGGCACCGTGAACAAGCCTGTGAATAATGTACGGACCGCCGAATTTAAATCGCTGCAGCCGAAGGCGGCGCGCGGCAAGAGCATCTGCTGGGGGCGGCGATCACATGTGCAGCGCCACAACACAATTTATTCACCG